TTTATATTGTACCTGTGCCTACATCCACTGGTACTATGCCATTGTGTCACTGGTAAAGTGTTCACATACTCCACAAGAGAAGAAGTCTATCGTCACAGGGGTGCCTACGACTCGTCAAACACCACCTTAAACAGGTAACAGAATCTACACCAGGTAGAACGTACCAATTTCACATGTGTACTGAACGGCTGACCAGTGCATCAAATGCAATAATTCATCAAAGTACATGTTAAAGTAGCGCACCCATGGACCGCTAAAATCCGAACATTGAACTTGGACCAAATGGAACACTACCTATCTAATTACCGCAGTATAACATTCAATACATAACTCAAATGTAACACCCTAGGTATCATACAGCATATGCTATGCCAAAACCAACAAGCTCTATAATGAACATAACCTCTTGCATTGTAAATAATCTGTAATAGTATGATAATGCTATGTCGTAACTTTTTGTATTGTAAATAATCTGAAATAGTATGATAATGCTATGTCGTATGAACATAACTTCTTGCATTGTAAATAATCATTAATAGTATGATAATGCTTTGTCGTATGAACATAACTTTTTGCATTGTAAATAATCTGTAATTGTATGATAATGCTATGTCCTATGAACATAACTTCTTGCATTGTAAATAATCTGTAATAGTATGATAATGCTATGTCCTATGTGTTGAAGTATGTTGTAACAATATGTTGCGCTATGTTCTATACGTTGTTAGTGCTATGTCCTATGTTTACTGTAATCAGGTCCCCTGTCGAAATGGGCAGTGCCAAAACCAACAAACTCTGTAATGAACATAACTTCTTGCACTGTAAATAATCTGTAACCATATGTTAATGCTATGTCCTATGTGTTGAAGTATATTGTAACAGTATGATGTTCTATGTCTTATTTGTTGTTAGTACTATGTCCTATGTACACCGTAATCAGGTCCCCTGTGGAAGGGGCGGTACGCCAGAGAGGTGGTACATGGGAGCTATACCATTTTTGTCAATGGCGATGGCGTGATGCCGCCTGTACTTGTTCCTGTCCTGTATTATATTTAAAGAAATTAAATAATGAAGAATTTGCACTGAATGTATGTATGTTTCTCGCATTGTGGATAAAACAACGGTACCTAGAGACATCAACTTTTGAATAAAGTAATCCTCCACTCGAATATGGGCATCTGGAAGCCCAAATTTGGAATTTATTTTATTATTTATTTCATATTTTGTAAAATTTTCACGAATTTTTTATTAACAAACTCAACGATTTTAAAGCGAGCAATGGCAACACTGTACGAAAAAAAATTATCTCCAGCGCGCGAGACTGTGTATCGGAATTATTTTGTGATCTTGCTGTTGAATTGAATTTTTTGGTTTAGTTGCGAAGAACATGATTATTTAATAAAGAAAGGTAACACACAAAACGTTCAAAAAACTGAAAAATCTGAAAGCTTTAACATTTTTATCATTATTATTTTTAAGAAATTGATATGATAATTTAAAATAAAATTCAAAATTTCCTAACTGCGCACTGCGGCAATCTTTATATCCGCCTCAAAGATCGAGAAATAATTCCAATTTGTCATCCTAACCAATTTTTCATGCTAATATTTTAATATTAACGCAATTTTCGAAGAATCAACAACTAAAATTAAAGTCGTTTAAAAATTAGGCCTTTTTAAACGAAAAACTACGTGAACACGAACTAAAATGCATCATCACGTCCGAATATAAGAACTTGGTAAAACAGGGATCACAGACATAAAATGCATATGCCTTTACGAAGTGAGAGGAGGAAGAAATTTATGCAGAAGCGTTTTGCCGTTTTTATGAAATTTGCATTCTTTTTCAATTCTGATATGAATTTATTTATCCACTGCAAAATGAGCCGAAAGTTGAATAAGTAAAAGACAATGTATTATTCAAAAGCAACGGCTTTCGAACAACATATTCGAAATTTTTATCAAGGATTTTACTATATCTGAAATGAATTCTAAATCAACACAGAGATTCGAATTAAGTGGCGAACTTTTGAGTGTTATATTACAATTAAGAGATTAATAATTAAAAATATATAAAAATTTGAAAGCTTTCAGATTTTGCATTTACGCTCAAAGGAACGTTTTTTTAGCGTTTTGTGTGTTACCTCTATTTATTAAATATAAAAAAAAGCAGCAGTAAATGCTTTGAGAATAAAGCACGTTAGTACTAAATGAAAAGATTAGCGTAAATGCTGCTAAATCATAATTTAAGTTTAAGAGTTTAAAAGCATTGAAAGATCCAACTATCAGTAATAAGACCGGAATTTTACCAAGTAATTTTACCAAACTTGACTGTTGGCACAATGCATTCTGGCAGGAGACGTTCTCCAGGTAGACGCCAGACCCAGACCCTGCCATCCGAACGGTAAAGGCTGAACCTTGATTCGTCACTCCAAAGAACCCGTTTCCACTGATCTACGGTCCAATTTCGATGTGCTTTGCACCACATTAACCGAGCAGCGCGGTTGGACTTTGTGATCAAAGGTTTATGGGCAGCAGCACGACCATGAAAACCAAGCAGATGTGCTTTCTTACGGATGGTATTCATTGAAAATACTCCCGGATGCCTGTTGAAACTCCTCGCGGATGAGGGCCATCGGTTGGGTGCGGTTCTTCCGAATTTCTCTGGACAGCACTCGTTGGTCTCTATCTCCCAGTTTCATTGGTCTGCCGACTCGGGGTACATTCCAACAACTACCGCTCACCTTCCATTTCTTAATCACATAGGCCACTGTGGATTTTGGGTACTTCAGATCGCTAGATATGTCCCTTAAGAATCGGCCACATTTGTGATACCCGATAATTATACCTTTCTCGAAATCAGAGAGCTCTGAACTGCGAGGCATCTTGCATGCGAGTAAAGCCGATGCTGTTTCCTACACGATATATACCGGCGGAGTCCGTGACGTACCTTAGGACCGCAGATATCGTCATTTGCATAGGTGTCCAAATACTTATTGGTAGTCAGTGTATCTTGTATTAAAAATTTAAAACAAATTCTTTGAAAAAGCAATCAGTAACTGGTTGAGGTAAGCAGCCAACTGTCATTGTCAGCATTTTCTTTATTGTGCAATAAATTAAAAGATTGCAGAATTTGGCAAAAATCTTTCATGAGGATTTGTTTTCAAAATAACTGGTTATTTAATTTCACTTTTTTTGGGGGGGGGATCTGCCTTATTAGAATATTCAGTTGGAGGAGGGGAAGCTAATGTCACTAATGCAAAAACCAGTTTGTTCTTTGGTATAATTCTGTTTTATAAATTTATCAACGATTTGTATATGATAACTAAATTTTGATGTGAAAAAAAGGTTAAAATATATCAGAAGCTCCAGAAGTTTTAAAAAGTATAAATATACAAATAGGTAAGGCAGGTCTTGTCTCGCTACAATCGAAATTAAAATAAAATAAAAGTATCTGCTGATTCATTTAAAAAAAGTATGCTAGTAGCTGTGAAAGCATTAAGTAATAAATAATCTAGTTCTAACGAATGTTTTCCGCCAGAAAGCTTTCTTAATAAAGTTAGAAAAAAAAAATTGAAAGCCGTACCTTCAGTGCCAGTAGTAATCACCACCCAAATCTATGGAATTCTGCCAACGTTTTGGTAGTTTTTTAAAGTCTTCGATCCAGAAACTTGATAGCCGCGAATCCAAAAACAGATCAACCTCATTTCGGGCGTCCTGTGCAGAATAGAAGATAGCACCAGCAAGATGAAGCTGCAGATGTGGGAAAAAAAAAAAAAAAGGTAGAAGTCCAAAGGAGCGATGTCCGGGGCTATATGGAGGGTGTGGCAAAAGATCCATTCAAATGGATCTTTTGCCACACCCTCAAGTTCAAGTTTCAAACTTCTTCTCTGTTCAAACTCAAGTTTGTACAGAGACCAGCCGGTGAATGCAGACACATGTGGTCTTGCATTATCTTCATGGAATATTACGTTTTTGGGCCGAAACTTAGTTCGATGTTTCTCTTTGATAGCAGCAACAACACGGACTAGCATCTCCCTGTACACCTTATTGTCGTTACTTTACCTTTTTACAGATAATCTTTGTGGATAATACCACGGCAATCCCACCAGATACAAAGCATGATCTTTTTGTTAGTCAAACTGAGCTTTGAGACGCTGTCGACGGGCTCACAGGGCGCAGACCAACGTCTTTCTCGGCCAGTGCTGTTGAAATAAGTCCACTTTTCATCACAAGTGACGATCCGGTTCAGAATTTTGCCCTTGTGTTAATATTCGAGGAGATTAGTGCAAGCCCGAACACGTCTGTCCTTACTTGCTTGAGTCAGCTCATGCGGCACGCAGAGATTGAACTTGTATGTTAAGTTTATGCCATGCATAGCGCGACTAATGGACTTGGTACTAACGTCTAACTCCTTAGCAAGCTCTCGACGGTTGCATACTGATCTTCTTCCATAAGTTCTCGCAGGCGGGCCTGATCAACATCAGTAGGGCGGACAGAGCGCTCTGCTTCTTGAATGTCATAGTCCTTCTTTTTGAACTTTCGGTACTAAACCTTCACAGTGTCATATGCTACAACATTAGTACCTAAAACTGTACACATGATTTGGCGACATTCTGTAGCTGACTTTTCGCAACACAACTGGAAATAAATGATGGTTCTAATATCGTAGCGTGATAGTTCCATTTCAGACACCTTGTACTTAATGATACCGATATTTTTTTTTACAAATTTCACAATATAGTGTTCTAAAGTAAGTCTCTTTCTTTCAAATGCCAAAATTCGTTTGGCAAAATATGATTAGGCATGCAAATGCGAACTCTTTGCGCAGACGATATTTGCGGTGGCGGCAAACTTTCGTTAAAACCCGATATTTTCATATTATGTTATTAAATATTTTTTATTACATATGATTCTTGATATAATGTTTGAGAGATTCCTTTATTTTTTTCGTTTGAAAATATTTACTATTTGTTCATAATTATTTTTTGCTTTTTTTAGCACATTCCACATTCGTATATGAAGGAACAGTAACAAGACAAGAAGTATTCCTGAAACATCAAACATTATTAAGCAGTATCTTCTTCAACTTAAATAGAATCCCCCTGACTGATTGACAGCATTTAAAAAAAGATCAAATTTGTACTCCAATTTTAGAAAGGTTTTACAGACTAAACGGACAACTGCTTTGTATAAATTTATGAAGATCAGATAGAAATTTGTACAGTGATGTATCAATATAAAATATGTACAGCTTCGCATGTTAAACAGTTTTATATTTCAAAATAAAGAATTCATGAAAACTGTAATGGTAGCAATTTTTTGAACAGCACAATATTTAACTTCTCAAAATAACAATATTTTGCATCACCAACTAAATGACATTAATCACCATAACATACCTTGTGGTATAACAAAACAGTTGGCTTATTTATAATAATTTTGCATATGGTTAAATTTCTTATGAATCGTCTCCACAGGATCAAGACTAACGGATTAATTTAAAATAATTTTAAAACAGTATTTATTTGCCAAAAAATGCTTGAATGTAAGAATAAGCAGATAAAAGCAATACAGTAAATCTCACTCAGATGATTCCTATAGTTCCAGATAATTTTTGTTTTCTATAAATTAATCGTAGTAAAGCACACCATAGATTGTAATGCCTTTATAGAGGACCCTTCTACTGGGAAATGGTTCATGTTCACATTGCTCATGGTTTGGTTTGGTTTATTGAGATTAAGGTAAAGCACCTAGGGCTATCTGCCCTAAGGGGAGGTTACACATGAGGAAAACCATGAATATGCACATGCAGCCAGCCCATTCGTGGGATTCGAAACTCAGACCGAACTACTAGCATTCAGCGACTTTACCTCTCAGCCGCTGGTGGGCCTCACATTGCTCATGGACAAAACTACAAAAGCTCTGTGTAGATAACACAGAAAAGATCACAAAAGTGCTAAAATAAACACCTTCAGCCAAAGAAACTGTATCCATAATGGTTTATGCAAGCACAGCAGATGATTAAACAATATAGTAATTGATTGCTCTGTAATGTAACCAGTGCTTAAATTGCGCCGGAGCCCACTAGAGCCTGACTCCGGGACTTTTCAATTTTTAAGATAAATTACAATTCTATCCAGAATGCACTGGAGCCCTAAATAAGATGAGCTCCAGTTTCTTTTTATAAAACTGAACCACAATTTAAAGGGGAAAAAATTAAATTCCTAACGTTTTAGTTTAACAATAAGCAGACTTTGCAATACTCTATTTCCCTAGAAACACGAGATGTTCAAGTAAAGTTCCCTCATTCACATGCGGAAACCTTTCCCTTTAAGAAGGGCAATAAATTTGGGGGAGTTTGTTTAGGAACACGTAAATTTCTTGCCATGCCATCGTATCTAGTGTATTGTTATCGATGGTTAGTTATCCTCGCAGGAAGGAAAATTTGTGTTCTTAAATGTGCATTAAGTGACAGCGAGTACAATAACAGTGAAATACTGAGATAAACTGCTCAAGCACTATCCTATACATCGTCTTCCCACAGTATCCACTAATGTGGGGGAAAGCACAAACAGCAACTTTACATTCATCCTTAGGAGTCAGATGCAGGACTCATTTTACCCCTGACACACATCTGCTTGATGGCTATAATTTTATCAGCAGAGAGCCATAGTCAAAGAGAATGTTCTCTCTCATCAAGATTCCCCTCCTTTTTTGTTTCCACCCACTCATACCCTCATTCTGTTTCGCCCTGGAATTTTCACCAGCTATATTTTAAGTATATTTAATTTTGTTATGATAAAAGAACGTTTTCAACCCCTATGATCAGAGCTTAAATTGGGCCGGAGCCCACCGGATTTCTAGTCCGGTGCTTCTTAGTTTTTGTAATAAATCATAATTATAGCCAGAATGCACCAAAACCCTGAATAAGAAGGCTGTGGCACTTCTTTTATGTAACTGAATAACAATTTCAGTAGAAATTTTAACAATAAAATTATATTAAAAATCTCTTACTAAATTTCAATTTATCTCTTTACACTTTATTTAATTTTAATTATTTAATTACTTCAATCTTTAACTATTTCAATAAATAATAGTTAATCATCTAATAATTATCAATTAAATTATAATTAATTAATTTGATAATGAGTAACTATTTAATTTTAAAAATTATTAATGAGTTTAATAGTCATTTTATTTATTTATTTCCTCTTTGCTGACAGTCTGCCATAGGGCTCCGGCACTTCTAATCTTAGAAATTAAGCCCTGAATGTAATATATACAGCTGCCCAACTGAATAGAAAAATGGAAAAGGGGATATCATTGAGCCATTTTATAGTACATGTTCAAAGAAGAGACTGTAGACATACAATACATAGTAAATAACAACATGAATACGACAAATGCTGTACATTTTTTAATAAATCACCCATTATGTGAATCATTACAGCAGCAACAGAATATCTGATGATGTAGGTTGCCCTTGGAATTAATGTAAGTCTTATACATGAGCTCTTCAGCTATCTATCTCTATCGGACAGTGGTCTTCAAACTTTGTTGACTCATGGAACACTTAGAATTATAAGTTTTGTTTTCAGAGAATCCTCATCCTAGCTTTAGAAAAATATATTAAAAAATAATATTTAATGTAGATCAATATGTTATAGTGCTCTATGTAGACAATAAAAATGTATTGTATTAAAATATTTAATGTAAAATTAGTGCAATTTATTCATTAATAGCACAAATTCATGATCCAGGTATCACCAAACCTTGCATTAGACTTAGTCACAGGGGTGTACTTGCACTTTGTTACACAAATTGTCTTGATGTTATCTGCTGCTACATTTTATATTCTGCAATTTAATTGTTTCTGTACTTAGTTTTTGTTGCCACATGCTTTGAAAAAAGATTTTTCACTTAAATATGCTGTTCCAAATGGCATTAAAATGTTTATAGCTCTGTGAGAAACTTCTGGGTATTCTGCATGAACCTGCAACCCAAAATGTAGAAGCTGCTCTTACTTGAATTTAGACTTTAACATTGAATCTGTTGTTATGTCAATAAGTTGTCCCTTTCCTACATTAGCAAGCCTTCCGACTTGAAAGGATTTTTTATCCAGTCATACTTGTTTCCCCCCTTGGAAATATTCTCATACAGTTCTCTTTAATTGAAAAAAGATGCCCCAAAATGTAATATTTAACATTGTTGTCTAAATTCAATTAATTTTCCAGTAGAAAACTTTGGTTTTGCAAAGCAGTACATGTCATCCTCTTTAACATATTCCGACCATATGTAAAGTTTTAAATTCAATGCATTAAACTTTCTTTAATTTTCATAATAGGTACTATATTTAGTTCTTCAAGAGATATATTTACCTCACACATAAACACATCTTCAGCAGCTCACACATAAAACATCAGCATCTCACACATAAAACTTCTGATTAAAATTCAAAGATAATTAAATGTATTATATAAAGAAAGATAATTAAATGCATCAAAGATAATTAAATATATTATACACATCAAAGATAATTAAATGTATTATATGTATCAAAGATAATTAAATGTATTATTAGCCTTGATCATTTTCCTTTTGAATTTTTTCTTCGACTCGTGGAACCCAGAACAGTTTGAAGACCACTGCTATAGGTGGAAATTAAGATATGATAAACTTTACAATAAATCTGCACACCAAATTGAGAATCATGCACATTACATACTTCTTCCCATATAAATTAGGCTTTATCTATTAACAGTATACAGATAGAACATTTGACAATACTTCATTTTGCTGCCAATGCACAAATGGTTAAATAATAAACCTCAGATTTTGAGAAATTTTTGAAAAATAGAAGGGATGGATGTAATAGTTGCTTCTGTTAAACTCTTCATACAATGGATTAGACTTATGCCTAGAACCTTTCAGTAGCATTTGTACTTATGGTCAAATTTTTCTCAACTAAACACATAATAGCTTCCATTCCAGAAGGTCTAGCTCTTTTTTTTCCCCTGCCCTGCATTATTTCCGCTGACATAGAATGATCCAATTTCACAGACCTGGCAGTTCAAATGTTTGATGGTAGGCATTTCCCTAGTGTGCACCATGTGTAATGAGTATATGAGCCAGTTTCCCTTAGAAAGTCTTCCATGAAGGCATCCCTTGCCTTAGGCAGACAGCCCTTGAGGTTTTGCTATAATCACATAAACCAAACCAGCCCTAGTGTGCAATCAGCCACAATACAATCATTTTATGCAGCAGTTCTTTTCTCATTGGTAGCCTTATATAATAGATGCATAACTGCTATCTTGGAATTTTTGCAATGCTCCATCACATACAAAATATGGATTTAAATGGAGATATGATTTTCAAGAAAGTCAAACAGTACTCTGTAGCTTACATGCATCAGATGAAAACATACCTTCTTTGACAAAAAGTGTTTATCTTGAAACATTCTACTGCCAAGTAAAGTTTGTCCAATGAATTCACTAAGATATGTACTTTCAATTACAACAAAGCAGCTACATATTATTTTAATAATATGCATAAAAAAGAGAAAAGAAAAATGAGTAAATTATCTAGGAATTAGCTTCTTTTACAGTCTATATAACAGCTTCACATTCAAACATCTGACATGGTTACAGTACTTTCAATATGTCAGTAGTAATAACAAGAAATCACAGTAAGTTCTTCATGATCAGATTTATCTTCAAAATCCAGTAGTCTGAATTCTATCTCAAATAAACATATGAGCAGCTGCTAAAGAGAAAATTTTATTTAATATGCACTGCAAAAGCTGAGAAAGAAAGAAAAAAAAAAGTGTATAAAGGATACTAAAGTACATATAAGAATTTAAATATCTTTGAACACAGTAACATCATAGACAGAACATGAAAACTGTTTACTACAACCTTTTTATTTATTACCCATTGAAGCACAACTTGCTATTTTTTAATTAGACATAAATTAATAAAGACACATTAAAGTTCACAAAAATACTTTAATAACAAAATGTTATGTGTTCAAATACATCTGTGAAGCAGTAGTACAAAAAATAATCAGATCATTCTTGTCCCCTTGAAGCAGATGATCTCTCACATACTCCTAACAGATAAGTGTTTCAGTACTTATGATCATGAAGGGATATCTGCAGAAAGAAACAATACCTTTTAAATAAGTTCACAAAAGCAATCCAACACAACATTCTGATAATGATTTATATACTTAAGTTTTGCAAAATTAAAAAATTATACAGCCCATTCTAAAGCTTTGACATCAAATTAGTACCTTTATAAAAAATAAGTTGGCAAATATCGGAAAATGATTTTCAGTATCTCATGACAAATGCACAGAATTGAGAGAAAACTCTATTAGAAATTTCATTCAATGAAATTAGTTAGTAATATTCAGTAACTGAGTTTACCAATTTAATTAAATTAAGCTAGAGTTTAAAAAAATGCTTTTAAGAAATATCAGGTAATTCTAAATGTTCTGCTGTTCTTTGATGATAAATACAAATGAAGGAATACAAAAACATATGAGAACTTTCACTGAATCACATAAGCACCATTTTATTCCATGAATTTTTTTCCCTCTCTCATGTAGCTGGAAAATTTCTTTCCTAGAAAGTCATTATGTTATTCATAAAGAAATTATTAACATACCGTTTGACAGTTTCCAAAGAAGTGAGTCCATTCAGAGAATTCTGAAGTGGCCTGAAAACATGCTAGATGTCAAGGTTTAATGAATATAGGGTGACATGACACACCTCAGCCATACACAATAAGCTTTTGTCTCCCATTCATCAAAATGTGAGGTCGAGCACTATCATGATGAAAGAAGAGTGGCCTCAAGAATTAGACAGTTTCAGTACTTTGATTTCTGCTTTTAAAACTGCCATTTAAGAAGAGTATTTTTCCAAATTTATTGTCTGATATGGCGGTAATAATTTACAATAACAATTCCTTTACAGTTCCACCAGACACAAAGCATACTTTTTTTGGAATGTATCCCCTTTCGATGTAACTAAAACAAAATCTTTCGGCTTATTTTATGATCTTTTTCTTGTAACATTAATATACAGTATCCATGTCTCATCTCCAGTAATGAGGTATTTCAAAAATGGAACTTCTTTAATTCTTTTTAGCAAAAAGTCACATACCAAAACTTGAGTTAAAGCAAGGGGTACCCATACATTGTAAAAACTTATATACCCAATTTTCTCCAAATGATCATATAATGGACTTTTTGGAATACATAATTTGTCTATAGTTCCTAAACGGTAAAGATAAATTTTCACAGGGTCTTCTTTACAGAGAAGGCATCATATTCGAGGCTGACATTTCCTCGCTTAAATTCTCCACACTGCTTTCGAATTGTGCCTCAGAAAAAAAAACACTTTGCACTTTCAGCACAAGTTTTATGGGCAGTCTAGCCAGCAATTTTTTTCTTTTTAAAAATAAATGAGTATAATGTGATCAAAAGTAACTTTAGGGTTCTCCATTCTTGGCACTGCACTGAAATAAAAATTATATCAGTATACATGCTAGAATTATGCTACAAAAGCAGAAAAGATAGAATTTAAACATCCTCTTTGATCAAAGTCACTCCATGTCAGCAGTGACAAAATAATTCTAAGAAAAGTGGCTTCAATTTGCAAAACTGCAGAACTTTTTGGATGACCCAATACTTTTTAAAATTTTGTTCATGCACCTATTTTCAGCATATTTATCCTATAAGCACTATAAAAATAATGAACAGAAATATTCACATTTAGTAAATGCAATATTCACATATTTTTATATTTTTCTGAGCCAAACATTATTTTGGAAGCAGTGTGCCAAATTTGAAAGGGGGTGAAAACTTTAGTACTTACTTACTTGAAGTTATTTTTCACTTCAGTACTAAAGACTAATCAAATAACATAATTTAATTACAATATTCAGATACAATTATTTACATGTACACATTTTTCAAAATGTCCCTATATTACAAACTTTTAAGCATTTAGATTCATTTAGATCACACAGTTATCTGCATTTGTTAATACAATTACATGTACACAACGAGAAATGCTTTTTAACACTAGAATGAGCTTTTCAAATAAGAATATAGCATGAAGAAAAGGGTAATTTTTTCCACTTACATAAATCTCATGAGCATATACAAATCAATCTTCTCTTGATCGTTGCAAACCAAAGGTTCACATAAGTTCCATGAGTGTATATAATTAGCCTTCCCTTCATTATATTGTCATGAGACAAAGGTTCATAGCCGTCTCTTTAAAACCATTTAACTGTCAAGTTATTTTGATGATTTGAGTGCATAAATTGTCAATTTTTTAAAATTCCAAAAATAAAAGTTCGCCTCACAATCAAAAAAAAAAAAAAAAAAAAAAAAAAAAAAAAAAAAAAAAAAAAGAAAAGCTGTGCACTTTGAACTTTAGCCTCTATTTTTTGAAACTTTCAGTAAAGTCCTGCCATCTGTTGAATTGATGCCGAAATAAACTTCTCACAATATATATTCGGGCATAACAATACGATGCACTAAAAAAAAATTAGCCCGAGTAATGTTCGGGCTTTACATTTTGGAATACCAGCGCTGTGTCCGAGGTTATTTCGGGCATGACAGTTGAAAGGTTAAATAATCACTCCAAATTACAAGGAAAAAAAAATAGAAAATTTATCAGAAAAGAATACAGAGTACAGCAAAATTTTGTAACTGTCAATAATTCAAGGAGAATATGGATATTGAATAAATCCTCTTTTGCACATGAGAAATATCAGAAAGCATTAATAACATTTTCAGAGTGAAAATTAAAGCACAATTCAGTTTTCTTTGAACAGCAATATCTCAGACCTGAATAACAACTGGATCTTAGAGTTGTATTTACACAGTGTTACATGCTTATAAGAGCTTTGGGAAAAACCAGTCCCAGGGCCTTGAAAATGTGTTTTTCCAAAGCTTTTAAAAGTCACTAAATTAGCAAGAAATTTCCAGATGTTGTTAACTTGGAAACAATGGATTTTTACAATTTCACAATTTTTTATTAAGTATTTTACAATTTAAATGTTGGATTCAGAATTGAAAGATCTACAATCCTGTACAAGGAATACACACTTTTACACAAAATACATAGCCACAAATACATAAAATAAACCCTAAAATTATTAAGCCAAATTAAGCAAAAAAAAAAAAAAAAAAAAAAAAAAAAAACCACACAATAACATACCAAAATGCAATCAAAAGGATTTAAATATTTACTAAAAATTACAACTATATGTATAGATAGTTCTACATTAATTACACAATAAATTTTAATAAAATTGTTTCATAAGAATAAATTGAATTTAATTAAATAAATTTAATTTAAATACAAATTTAATAAAATATTCTTTGCGCCATTGCTGCAAGGAATGGAATTTAAATTCAAACAAATTTAAATTTAAATTTTAACCAACACGTATAAAAGTAAAAAAGCAAATTTAAAGCCAAAATAAAGAAAAAAAAGCCAAAATAATCTTTAGAAAAATTTTAAAAAAATGTGCAAACAATAAAAGATTTCATTCTCGAACTAATCTACAATATCATTTAAATTCAGAAGCATAAGCAAATCAAGTGCAAAACCAATCCATGAAAATAAATTCACTAATTTAGCAAATTAAAATTAAACCAAATAATTTTTTAAAAATGCATAAGTGAATGACTGTTGAGTAGGCAGGAGACAGACTTATCAAGGGGAAGTTGCCTCCAAACCTAACTCTCCAATCATTCAATTCGTGTTTCGTCATTCATGCAGGCAAGGGTAAGAGTCAAAACCAAAAGTAAAAAGTGAAGAATGTCCAAAAAGACCAATAAAGTGGTACCCTTAGAAATTAGCATTTAAGAATTAAAGTTCTAAAAGGAAAATACTAAGGAAGTCTTTTGAGAAACAAGCAAGTAAAGTCAAGTATTAAACTTTTTTTTAAAAAATTAAATTTTTTTTAAAAAATAAAAAATAATCTAGAAACCAATGTATTTTAGAAACCCTTGTCTACAGAAACCTCCCCGACACGAATATGCATATCAATAAAAAGAAACTAAAAAAGTACTAGACATAATCCATATAAACCAATAAGAAACAAAAAAAACTAATTCACAATTTTTGAAAAACAAACATATACTTAAAAATATAATTCATATTTAGAAAATACTTAAATACTACATAAAAAAATTTAAAAAATACTTAAAGCAAGTAAATAGTAAGTTTTAATTCTAACTTACCTACTATATGAGTGTTGGGGTCTGCAAAAGTGTTTTTAAAGAGAAGTAAGTGTGTTCTTCAAATTATATAGATGGCACTTATGTAGGTAAAGTTGAGTGTCAAACTGCTATCTTTGTTATATTAAAAATTTTTTGCAAACATTAATATTAAAATATATAAAAATAAATCTAGAAAAATTAAAAATCCTAAAGGTATGTAATTATCAATATTTAGGGAGTTAAGTAGCTGAGCCAATCAAAAGATGTAAGTTTGCTTGAAGTAAAATAAAGTTAAGTGGTATTGTGAATTAAAAAATGTAAACTGTTTGTAATGTGAAATGTGTGTTCTGTTGAAAAATTGTGTAAATATTGTAAAAACATTAAGTGAAAAATTTTGTGTGTGAAAATTGCAAATAATTAAAGTAATTAAGTAAAACTGAAATGTTTTAAAATTAAAGTTTTAAAGTAAAATTAAAAATGTCAAAAAAATCCCAAAACTTTTTGAAACGAAGTCCTTAAAAAACTTCTAAAAAAAAATTCCTAGAAATTTCCCAAAATTTCTTAAGGAAGTTAATTAAAGTTATATATTAAATGAAAGAAAAAATTAAAAGTTTAATGAACTTGATTTCAATTGGAATATCAAAACTTAACTAAATACTGGCTAAAGTATGGAAAATTAGAAGAAGAAGATTAAAATCTTCACTCAATTCGGGCTGTAATTGAGACTTTTGAAAAGAGTTGGCCCTTTATTAGTAAAAGGAAAAAATCCAATATTGATTAAATATACATATTTACAATAAAAATTTACAAGATAATTTCTTTACTCTCCTATATCCTTCATTACCCTCCAGCTAAGGTTTAAGGTAATGTTATCATATCAAAAAGAGCCAAAAAATTATAAAGTAAAGTCAATGCCTGCCTTTTTAATATATAAATTAATAAATTTTGGTGGTACTTGGTTATCAACTTGAACATTAATTAGCTTTATTATTTCTTCCTTTAAATTGTCTATTTCAGTACATATATTTTTTATTCTGATTATCTGGCTATGAAACGTGTTTTCTATTACTTTTCTAGAGATATTAGAGTTCCAATTAATTAGTTTAATAGTATGAAAATGGAAATTCTTTCTTTTATCAAATAATTTAATTTTGCTGTGTTTAATAATTTGCAGGACTAGGTATTCAATAGTATCTTAATTCATATTCGTTTTACTAAGTGTTAAACTATTTGGGTAAATTCTTTATTGGTATTTCTTTTTGGACATTCTTCACTTTTTACTTTTGGTTTTGACTCTTACCCTTGCCTGCATGAATGACGAAACACGAATTGACTGATTGGAGAGTTAGGTTTGGAGGCAACTTCCTCTTGATAAGTCTGTCTCCTGCCTACTCAACAGTCATTCACTTATGCATTTTTAAAAAAATTGTTTGGTTTAATTTCAATTTGCTAAATTAGTGAATTTATTTTCATGGATTGGTTTTGCACTTGATTTGCTTATGCTTCTGAATTTAAATGATATTGTAGATTAGTTCGAGAATTCAGTCTTTTATTGTTTGCACATTTTTTTTTTTTTTTTTTTTTAATTTTTCTAAAAATTATTTTGGCTTTTTTTTCTTTATTTTGGCTTTAAATTTGCTTTTTTACTTTTATACGTGTTTGTTAAAATTTAATTTTAAATTTGTTTAAATATAAATTTTAATAAATATATCTTAGTCATTCTAAAAATAATTAAGATGAAAATTTTGGCTTTAAATTCTAAGACTTGTCAACTCAGGTTTTTTTAAACTTTAATATTGCTTTTAAAAATTATTTTCTTTTAGAAAAAATAGAAGTCATAAAATTATTAGAAGACTTCAAAAATCACTACGTTAAATATAAAAAAAATCAATTCAAACTTTCATATGTGAAATAGTTTTAAAAAATGCACACAGTTTAATATATATTTGGTGATAGAGAAAATTAACACCATTTTGTAAATTTACCCAAAACTTGCCCATGCTTTAAAATAATTTATGTCAGGTTATGCTTCAATAATGAAACTATATTATTTTCGATACAGAACATTTAGTCTACTTCCGGAATCAGTAAGAAATGCATATGTATATAAGCAATAAAATAGTCCACAGCTACATTAAGAATTACCTTTAACAGATGTATGATATATTCCTAAAAGCACAAAATCATAAAATACAGACATTCAGAATGAGCATCACAGTGTCATATATAAAATACATAGTAATGAAATAGTTTGATAATTAATGTTTTGAATAAAAATGAATTATAAAAAGAGCTAAAATAAAACCTTTTTGCTTTTTCTTTAACATGTCACTCTGTAATACACAATTAGCAACATCTTCCATCCATTTAGCTTCTTTTATAACTCGCTGTGATACCACTTTCTCAAAACTTCTTTTTGCCAAACTTAGAAGAAAATTATTGATTAAAAAGGTAAAAATAAACACAAATATATACAAAATTTAACACACTTAAATATTAGTTACAGTTAATGTCAATCCTTTTGCACTTAAGTTTAGATCCCTATTTTTCATTCTAATAACCTTACTTAATGATTGTGTTTTCATTACTTATTATTGATTGTTTTTCTTTTAGTGCTATTGCACATAAAATATATTATTAGCCCAAATTGGCTATTAGTCTTGAAACAGGATTTGGTGCCGAATCACTTTAAATGTCCAAATCACTTTATATAAATTAAATAATAAAGAATCTACATGAATGTATGTATGTTCTTCACACTGCCAAAAAACGATATAGCATAGGCCCATCAAATTTTGAATAATGCATTCCTCTACCCTGGAAACCTGAATTTTCAATTTTATATTTTGTAAAACTTTAATGAATTTTAACAAACTTAATGATCTGAAAGTGAGCAAAGGCAATACTGCGTACAGATTAAAACAGTGTTACCTCACATGCATGATAGTGTATATTGGAAATACTAACTAGATGTTGTTTTTAAATATTTTGTGATTTTACTATTCAGCTAAATTTTATGTGGTTTATGTGCAAAGAACATGATATTTAATTAATAAATTTAACGCACAAAGCATTAATAATAAAAAGAAAAAAAATTTTCAAGCCATCTAACTAAGAATACTGTACATTGATATGACAAACTCAGAAAAGACTGAAAATCATATAAAAATATATGCCAACACTTAACACTTCATTGGAAATTCTAAACACATGTTGCTTTTAAAATTTTTGCAATTTTTCTGTAGAATTGTATATGGCGTAGGTGCGAAGAAAATGATGGTTAATAAAAAAGCTGCAAAAGGCAAAAAGAAATGTGTTAGAATGAGTGAGTGCAGTAATAGACTGGTAGACTGCGAGTTCTGTGAGAACATAGAAAAACTTTAACAAACCATTTTGGGTGACAATTAAAATCTGAGTCCTTTAATTTTTTTAAGAATTATTTAATTAAAATTTAATTCTTCAGATAAATGTTTAGGAACGAAAAACAGGAAGAAAAATCAATTTGTTGATAAAATATTATTTTCTAATAAATTAGCAATGATATATAAATTATACTGATACAGATATGATAGAACCACTTACAATATAAAACAGCTTGTTTAATGTCAAAATTTATAGAAGGCATAACACAATTGTAATATGTTCATACACATATATTAATATACTATGTAAGAAAGAAGCATATCCCAAAATGTCTAAGAGAAATCCAGAAGTGATATTTAACATTTGAATATCTATGTTAATTTAATAACATGATTTATCATCATTAATTTTATACAATTTCTATAGAAAAGGATTTCCAAATATTCATTACATCATAACACAGCATAAACTTTAATATTTGTCATTAATATATCTATATCTATATATATGTGTGTGTGTGTGTGTGTAAGATAAAAAAAAAACGTAAATCAAAATTATAACTCAAAAAGCTTCTAGATTGCTCATTTTTAATTTGGGTACTTTCTCTCTAGTAATAAATTTCTCTAAACTGCATCATATGTCAAAACTAATTCCGCATTATGTTATCTTAAAACTTCTGCATTCCCTATACATTTTAGCCAATGAGATTAAAGAAAAATTTTACTTTTAATACCATTGCAACCCAACTACCTTTGCCCTTTCTCTGCCTATGCTTGTCAGCTAAAGGAAGTCTCTTGCTTTGCTGCTTTTAAATGATATTGTAGCTTTTAAATGTAATGTGCCATCATCAAAATTGTGGGGTGCAGATTGGCCCTATTTTGAAGTGCGACAAGTAATAAAGATATATTTGGATAAAGTGATTTTGTGATTCTTCAAAAGATCCCAGCACCTTCTGCTTAATAACTGATATTTTCAGTGATCTTCTAATCCTCAGTCCACTCGTGATTGCAAAATAATGTCTTCCCTAGTCAAGCACTTACATATATGGTAATGTGTGTGTATATATATATATATGTATGTATGTATATAGTCATTAATATATATATATATATATATGTATGTATATAGTCATTAATATATATACAGTCAAAAGTCGTTAATCCCGACACCCATAATCCGGACCTCAAAGCTACAAACTTTCCGTGCATGCGTTAATGAATGCGCATAATACTTTTACACATGCGCATAATACATTTACGCAAGCGTGTTTAATTTATATCGGGCGGTATAAGCTAAAAATGATCTAATTATCTATTTCAGTTAATGTTGCAGATTGCGTTGTTCCTTAATCTTCGAATTAGATCCGGCTTATTATTTTTTGCAGACTGTTAGAGCAATTTTATAAAAGTAAGCTTGAACTTTCGATTATGTCAAATAGAATTTCCGATATATATTTACTAATATGTAAAGGATCTAGAAAGCGAAAGTATGTTTCGATGTGCATCAAACAAAAAGTGGAATTGCTGCAAAAAAAAAAAATGGATAAATGCATATCCTTTGTTTCTCTAACCATTCCGAAATCTGTTTATCAATTTCACGCTGCTCTGCAGGGGGTGGGGGACATTGCGGCACGCAATGAATTGGAAGTTGATCTGTCGGCACTATCCTTATCTTCAGGGCAGATGTTTTTATTTTATTCAGCTTATAATTCCTTACTAAATGTAGTATTTCATCTCAATGTATTCCGTCTTTGATATGATTTAAATCAAATTCCTCGTCATTATAAATATCACGAGTACACATCAAATAGTTTTCTGGTTGCAATTTTCTAATTTCGACAATCCGTAATGTATGCTTTACGCATGTGCGTGTTGAAAGAAATGTTTAATAAAATAAGCAAATAAATATTAAGCTTTTTTTTTTTTTTTTAATTTGGTACCCTTTAAATCATAATTGCTCTTTATTTCATAAATTACGGTTTCGTATTTTTAATTTTATAATTTCTGCATGCCATCTTACCAGATTAAAACTGATGATCTATAATCCGGAATCGCCAAAAACCCGACGAGTCCGGATTAAAGACTTTTGACTGTATTTTGTTCTGAGAAAACAATATAAATTGAATTATAAGTACCCTAAAAATCAGTGACAAAATAAGATGCAAATAGTTAAGCAGTTTTTAAAAAAAAAATTTAGAAAAAGTTTTAATAAATTATTAGTTAACATTCTTTTAAGTAAATTTTTTAGAAATGAAAATTCAAATATTATTAACATTATAACCATTCTCTCTTTATTTATAAAACACCTTGCATAACAGTGAATACTATACAAAACATGATATTTCTACAACATCCTTTCCCACAAAAGAACTACATAAAACTTGTTTTTAATCATGCATGAGTGTTGTGTAATGGGATTACTAATGCAGAATACAGGATACATTTAAATTGCTCATTTTCACCATGTTATGAGTGGAGAAATCAACAAAATTCATGGAAAATTCAGCAAAATTCATGGTTGAACTAGTAATACAAACAATAGATCCCATTATTTTACTCACTAATAATATTTATCATTATTGCTACATTACACCTACACGTAAGCACATTTTTTCAAAAAGTTCCTATAAAAGAAGTACTAAAAATTTATAAACATTATTAATATTCAAATTTCATTACTAAATCTTACACAGTTCAGATATTAGGTTAATGCATTTTTTAAAAGGCAATTTGGGGTAATATATATTTTTACAATTAAACCAATAGTTAAACTTCAGGTATGATAATACAGTCAAGAGTCGTTAATCCGGACTCGTCAGGACTTCGGCGATTCCGGATTATCGATTTTTCCGGATTATAGATCATCAGTTTAAATCTGGTAAGATGGCATGCAGAAATTATAAAATTAAAATATGAAACCGTTTTAATTTATGAAATAAAGAACAATTATGATCTAAAAGGTATCAAAATTTACAAAAAAAAAAAAAAAAAAAAAAAAAAAAGCTTAATATTTATTTGTTTACTTTATTAAACATTTCTTTCAGTGTAAGTTGTTTCGTTTTATGTGATAATACTTTCTCTTAATTCTATAAACAGACATAATTTCTTATTCAGTTACAAAGTTCCGCTGTTCAAGTCCTATAATTGCTGTGTCGAGAATACCGACTAATTTGTCAATCAAAATTTTTTCATTTTCAATAACCTCTGTGATGATGAGGAATTTGATTTAAATCATATCAAAGATAGAATACATCGAGATGAAATACTACATTTAGTAAGGAATTATAAGCCAAATAAAATGAAAACATCTGCCCTGAAGATAAGGATAGTGCTGACAGATCAACTTCCAATTCATTGGCGCGGCAGTGTTGAAAACATCTGCCCTGAAGATAAGGATAATGCTGACAGATCAACTTCCATTTCATTGCCCCCTGCAGCAGAGCAGCCTGAAATTGATAAACAGATTTCGGAATGGTTAGATCATTTTTTTTTGCAGCAATTCCACTTTTGTTTAATGGACTTCGAAACATACTTTCGCTTTGTAAATCCTTTACATATTAGTAAATATATACCGGAAATTCTATTTGACATAATCAAAAGTTCAAGCTTACTTTTATAAAATTGCTCTAACAGTCTGCAAAAAATAATAAGCCGGGGATCCAATTCGAAGATTAAGGAACAATGCAATCTGCAACATTAACTGAATTAGATAATTTTAGCCAAAGAAAGTCTATGATTCTTTGATTTTAGCTTAGCTTATACCGTCCGTTATATGTTAAACGCACATGCGTAAACGTATTTTGCGCATGCGCACACGCATATTCGCAGCCGTAAAGGTCTTACGCACATGCGTCAATGTGACGCATGCACAAAAAGTTTGTAGCTTTGAGGTCCGGATTATAGATCATTCGGGATTATGGGTGTCCAAATTAACGACTTTTGACTGTATTCTACATTTACATGTAGCATTTTTGATATCTCCACTGCCAGCAGAAAATACTCAAATTTTCTTTTGGCAGGTAATAGAATAAGAATTATTTAGATTAGAAATTTCTTTATTGCTAGTTTGAATGAAGAGAAAATATACCGTAATTTCCGGAAGAAACGCCGCGACGTTTACGTGTTTAAAACTTAAATTTTCAGCAGGTGCGGCGTTTCTACCCATGCGGCGTTTAGGTGCACTAAAAATAAAATATTTCCTATGATGGTCATTGTACATAGTTTGGATGGCCTTGTCATTGTGCATAGACTGGTGCTGTTCCCACACAAAAGACCACTCAGTTATTTTGTTTACATTCTTTCCCTTAACGGACCTACATGTCTTATTCACCCTAAACGAGATCTCAGAACAATAACATTCTTCCCCCTTTCAAATCAACATTCTCATCAGTTTGAATAGTCTCTCTTCTCTGCCATTCGATGAATCTTCCAGGACCCATCCTCTCCCCACCCCTGCCTTTTCTGAAATTTTTTTCAAAGGCGGACACGACTCCACCTGCCTCACAATAACGAACTCTGACATATTTCCCCTTCAGCATGAATGGAATTTTCTTGGCATTCTGCCAAATACAGATCCCATCAGTTTGGGTACAAGTACTTGTTGAATAGTTTTTAAGTAAGAAGGGAGCGGAAAATTTTTGAAAATGTCTCTAAACGGCACAGAAGCTATACATTTCTTACCTTTAATTTATTTTTGAGTTATGGTTTCATTTCATGCATTTTTCTTAACTGGTATGTCATATATCAGGACTTAGGTTTAGTTTTTGCATCTATACGGCCCACGACGATGTCACGCGCAATTTAATCTGTTGCGGCGTTTACGCTGATGCAGCCTTTTCTATGTAATTTAAATTTTTTTCCCGACATTTTTCTCGAGTGTGGCGTTTATGCTGATGCGGCCTTTCTTCCAGAAATTACGGTAACTGAAATAAACATTTTCCCCCTCCAAACTGTATTCAATATTTTCAAAACTCAGAAAATTTTCAAAGCTATTATCATAGAAATACATTAAATTAAAAAATTTTAAATATTTAAAATACAAGGATCATATTATGTTTTAAGAATACTATAATAAAAAGTAAAGAACATAACAAAAATCAAAATCTATGACAATACAAGAAACAAAGAAACATAACCAAGAATTTTCGTTTCTTTCAAACTGAAAACAGATTAAATTGATAGTTATGATAAATACAGAAAACAATACCACCACACTTAATTACATTCATCATTATTTAAAACAGTTTCAGATTTTGCCCCCTTTTCTTAATAATTAAGAACAAAAATTGTTAATCAAGCAACATTAGTCAGTATTGAAAAACCTTCCTTTATAATATACCTTAAATTTCCAGACTTAATTGCAAATAAACCTTGTAAGAAGCGAGCAGCTTGACTAGATGGAGCAATGTGAACAGCTTTGCCAGTAATTTCTACTCCAAGCTTTAACCATTTATCCTGCTCATCACTACAAGCCTAAGAAAGATAGGAGGGAGAGATCAATAATGTATCGCTACATTATTCAAAAAAAAAAAAAAAAAAAAAAAAAAAAAAAAAAGAGGGGGGGAATGAAATCTAAGATATATTTAAATATATGCAAAAAAGGTCACTTCCAGGTATTTTTGGTAAGGAAGAAGAAAATGTACATTTATAGCAAATATTACTGAATAACAGCTACACAGTATTAAACTTAATGCTCCTTGTGTCAACTTACATGAAATGCTTTGAAAGATAACACAGCTAATTGCAATAGGGGTAGGATTTTCCATTTAGGAAATCTGCAAGACAACATAAAAGTATACATGATAGAAAAACAGAGCATTCAACAACATTTAAAAAAAATCAGGAAAGCAAAATTTAGTTATCTGATGTTTTAATATAGAAATATTTAGAAAGCATATAAATTTCACACTTTTCTACAATTAATAACAACAAAACTAAAATTTGCATAGACTATAAATATAAGACCAACATGAAAGTATGATAAAAACATATTATTTACTCTGCTAATCCATTAACAGATAATCAGGTACTTTGCCAACTACAAAGGCATATATAATAATATATTAATAACATTAAAATAATATGGAATTTAAACCAGTTAATGGACTGCCCTGTGGCAAAGTGGCTAGAATGTTGCGCAGCTTCACCACAGGTCCGGGTTTCGATCCCCGGGCTCGGCAAGGAAACGGCAAGTTGACTTGGCCTTTCATTTCTTGAATGGGTCAATAACGTAAGTACCAACTTTGCTTGAGGACTGAACACCACTTGCACAGAGCTGACCACATGCCCAGGGCATATGCTGATGCATTCCGGGGCCCAAGGTCAAGAAAACAGATTTCGGGGCACTGCAGGCTATGGTCCACTATGGCTGTTGAGCCACTGAGTTTAGTTTAGTTTAAACTAGTTAATGAAGCTGATTATCATTTTCAATTTGAATATAAATGTTACAGTTACATCTTGTTTAGCATGTCTGTTAATAACAAAATATAATTTTCATGACAATGTCACAATAAAAAAAAAGGGGGAGGGAGACTGCACCTGGTTATGCTTGACAATTCATTATACAGATCGATACATATACAAACAAATTTTTAACTTTAAAAAAAAAAATATAATTTTATTGTTAATGCAAAAATGGGATAGCTAAACTTATCCAAGTGATAAACAAAATTACAAATGATAACTTTACTTTATAGCATTTAAATTGTGCACATATTTAGCGAACATTTGGACTATGCCTGTTTCTTAATCCGACAGTGGGAAATTAAACTTTCACTATGCATTTCTGGTTTACAAGGTTAAAATTAAAAATGAATTTTACAATCTCTCTCTTTCTTTTTAATATCTACATAACAAATTGCTATTCTATAAAATTCTGATAAAGTAAAAAAAAAAAAATTAAATGCAAGTCCCTTTGCTTTTCCAGATAAAATGTTTACAGATATCATTATGTACTAATTAACAGTCTTATATTTTATCCTAACAAAATAAAGAGTACTTTTGCTGACAAACTTCATTTTTAAAGAAAAATAACTAATCTTCAAAATGTTTCTTTAATTTGCTTTATACAAAAGAATTATGCTTTAACAATGCTTACTATTGAGATAAAATTTACCATATTATAATATACTTTAAAAATTTAAATAAAAACTGTCATTTAAAAACAACACTGTAAATTTAGATTTTTAAAGTTATATATTTAATCTAGCTTAGGTTAATAGTACTTGCTATTTTACCTTTGTCTTTCTTTATCTTCGGCTATTTTACTCTTATCTTTATTTTGGCTCTTATGTTACTAAGAAAGCTATAAACTGAACTAATGAAATTAGCTGATGACTAGATATTATTTAAAAATCCTTTAAGACAGAAAATTATGAATGATAAACTGCCACAAACATTATATTTTAATAACATAAAATTTAAACTTCAAATTGCACAAGCACAATATGTGAATGATTTGAATAATTAGTATTCTTTCTTTTTCACAACTAAATTTCAAACATTTTTTGATTAAAGCTTACAGTTGCTCAGCTGTTGCAGCAAATGTAGATATTGTTTTTTCTGCTTCATTGTATCTTCCAGAAGACAGCAATATTTGGCACAAAATCTGTTGAATAATAATGATGCTACTTATAAACAGTCATTAAGAAAAAAACATTATTTTGTTTTCTATAAAGCTAAAACTTAGTATTAAATAACAGTGTAAATGAAAATTAAAAAAAAAAAAAAATACTAACATGAAATCCCAAAAACGATTTAGGATTCTTTTTTATGGAAATGACAAGGGCATCAAGATTCCCTTTACTCGCAAATACTTTGACAACTGCATCAAGGATATGAAGAGCAGACTGGATTTCAGAGTTAAAGGAACTTATTGAGAGTGCCTAGTTAAAAAAATAATAAATATTCAATCAAAATATTTCCTAGAAACAACTATAAACTAAATTTTCAAGTCATTATGTATGCTTTATATAAAATATCTTGAATTACTTTCACTAAAATGGCACTGATATTACTATATATGCATTTATGTGTATGGGTTAATCAAGTAAATATATGATTTCATTCATGGAAGTGATATAGATGTTATGCTATCGTCAGGTGGGGGAATTAACTATATCTAAATGTAGCAGAATGATTGGGAATATTCATCTTGTATTTTTCATGTCACAAAAGCATAACTTAGAATATGTACTTGATTTATACATAACATTATTTTAACATCCATATATCAATGCACAATTAATGCCAATTTTTTACATAGTTTGATTCTAAACCATTTTTTAAAAAATATTTTACAAACTAGTTGGGAGTTATTTGCACTTAAAATCTAGTATAATGCCTATTGTAGTAACATAAATCATCAACTATATTTTTATTGGTTTTAAAACACTTTTTGAGACTAACATTTAAATGAACTTCTAGACATATCTAACTGATTTGTAGTACAGTCAAAAGTCGTTAATTCGGACACCCATAATCCGGACCTCAAAGCTACAAACTTTCTGCGCATGCGTAGCGTTCACGCATGTGCAAGGGCGTTTACGAGTGCGCGTAAGACCTTTACGGATGCGAATATGTTTTTGCGCATGCGCGCTTAATGTGTAACGAATGTAATCTAAGCAAAAATTTTTTAATTCAGTTAATGTTGCAGATTGCGTTGTTCCTTAATCTTCGAATTGGATCCGGCGGATTATTTTTTGCGGACTGTTAGAGCAATTTCATAAAAGTAAGCTTGAACTTTCGATTATGTCAAATAGAATTTCCGATATATATTTACTAATATGTAATTTGTATCTACAAAGCGAAAGTATGTTTTGAAATCCGAAATCTGTTTATCAATTTCACGCCACGGATTGGAAGTTGATCTGTCAGCACTATCCTTATCTTCAGGGCAGATGTTTTTATTTTATTTGGCTTATAATTCCTTACTAAATGTAGTATTTCATTTCGATGTACTCCGTCTTTGATATGATTTAATTCAAGTTCCTCGTCATTATTATTCACTTCCGATAGTGTAGAAAGTGACCCACAGGTTATTGAAAACGAAAACATTTCGATTGACAAATTAGTCGGTATTCTCAACACAGCAATTATAGGACTTGAACAGCGGAACTTTGTAACTAAACAAGAAATTATGTCTGTTTAATAGAATTAAAGAGAAAGTATTATCACATGAAACGAAGCAACTTACATTGAAAGAAATTTTTAATAAAGTAAACAAATAAATATTAAGCTTTTTCTTTTTGTAAATTTTGATACCCTTTAGATCATAATTGTTCTTTATTTCATAAATTACGGTTTCATATTTTTAATTTTGTAATTTCTGCATGCCATCTTACCAGATTTAAACTGATGATCTATAATCCGGAAAAATCGATAATCCGGAATCGCCGAAGTCCCGACGATTCCGGATTAACGACTTTTGACTGTAGTAGGAAAAACTGAGTGAAAACAAATTTGTAAATGCAACTACTAGAATTTGAGGGAACTTGATCCAAGTTAATTTTTTTTATTTAGGAATTTTCTTCTATTTTTTCTGAATATTACTTAATTTTTTGGTTAGACAAAATGATATTCAACAATTAAAAAATATCTTTTTCTTCAATTTTCAACATTTCTGTTCTAAATTTTTTATTACGTTTATTAGAAAGTTATTTATAATTTTAAGATTGTTTCTGCAATTAATAAATTAGTTTTTGAGAAAGAAATAATAAACATAGTTATATGAAAAAAACTTTGGAGGAAAAAATTATTTAAATTTAATTTTCATTTCCGTCATTTTCTCTTTTCAGTATTTTGCAAAATCCATCCCTGCTTCTAAATAGATAATATTAAACATGTAGTCAAAATATTAAACAACTTTGCATCTATATGTGCAAATTTTAGGATTTTAAGTAAAAGGATTTATCAAAAAAGCAAACTCAGAAAATGCAATTTAAAGAATATAATCCCTTAAAATGATTACTTAAAAACTTTTCAATTTCTTAAATGGCTTCCTAGTTGAATTTTAGTTCATAAAGTTCTCTCATTCACTTTGTGAACATAACCATAACTGAAGCCATTATCTGACTGGAAATATTATAAGAAAAATGATAAAAGTAAATATTTTTCTTTTACTATTTTTGTTCAGTAAAACACATTCAAAACAATTTTAATGTGCAAATCAATTATAATGTTTCTTCTAAAACATTTGCAATCAATAGCAATAATATTAATCTATTGTTTAAATCAATTTTCTTTTCTTTCTTTCTTTTTTTTTTTTTTTAATTTCAATTTGAAATTTGGATGAAATAGAAACTTTTTATTCAAAACTGCCCAGGAATAGATGTGATTTCTTTTCTTCTTTTAGCCATTTTTCTTCTGCATAAAATGACTTTTAAATTAATTTAGAAGTATTTTAATTATATAATCTAATATTTGTTTCAGTAAGATTTTCAGCAGTGCTACAATCAGGAATTTCATCACTTTCATTTTACCACTGCTTTCTATTCAAATTAATCACAAGTAATTTCCATTTCTTCTTCTTTCAATTTCAAGTAATTTCAAAATTGACCGATAAGCACATACAAATATATGCTGAGCTGAGTATGAGGGGGAAAAATTGAGCCTCCAATTCAAAAAGAAAAAAAAAAAAAAAAAATCTTCACACAGTATTTAAAATCAGTAAGACTATGCATACAGAGGCTGTTCACACATTTTTTAGACAATGTATATTATATTCACAAAACTAAATTACATAAAATTCTTGTTTTAAATGTTCTATTTGACATCCCTTATTCTGAACTATCTTTCGACACCGCAATTTCCAGGATAATAATCCCTTTTGAAGTGGCAGAAGAGGTATTCTATCCCATTCCTTCCGAACAGCTTGTTAGGGTTTTGGGACAACGTTTGGATAATGCAGTTTTTAAAAGTCCGAAAGCACAAAAATCCATAGGTGACACATCGGGAGATTTCGTAGGGATATCAGTGAAGGGGTATGGCCTTGACACCAGTTTTTTGTTCCATTTCTTTTAGGAAATTTACAGCGGATTTTGATGTGTGACTGCTAGCTTTGTCCTGATGGAGTCTCACAGATTGATGGCACTGTGGGTAAAGCGATGATATTTCATTCAGAAAAATTGGCGATAAAATATGTTCCTGATAGTATTTGGAGTTAATCTTGACATTTTTTGCACTCTCTTTACTTTTAACTTGCCATTATAAGAAAAACCAGCAACAATCATGAATCCCTTAGAAAAACTATCTTTCGATTCTTTGAACCATGTACTTAAATTGTTTTCTCCCCTTTTATGATATCGCATCATTTTTGGATACCCTCTCACATCGTTTTTGGATAACAGAGTATGCATATTTCTCTTTGGAAAGAGCATAAATGTAGCCTTCGAACCACTGCTATGTTAAATTTGCCATTTTGAATAAAAACAAAACTTTCAAGCTACAGATGATAATTAAAAACATAGTGTAATTGCAATTACTTCTTTTGCAGCAAACAATTTTTTATTACCGCTTACCAAAATTGTCTAAAAAATGTACGAACAGCCTCTGTATAAACAGAGTTTGTTCATTATAGGGATTACAGATAAACTACGTTTCTCTTCTTGAATTTTGATTCTTACTTCCTTGTATGAAGTAAAGGAAGTATTGTTATCATGAAAAATTTTGAGTATCATATTTCAACAAAAATATCCATTTTGACTGCTATTGAATGCAATTTAACAATGCTTTTGCATGAAATCTGTATGTAAGGACAGAATAAAGGATTCTTTTTCTCAAAAAGGGTTGCAAAATGTATTTTAAATGGATTCAGAAGAGAATTTTTCATGACGTTTGTACGTATGGTACAACTCTACCCACTCTTTTACTCGGCTACGCGAGCTCAGTTATTTTATTCTTATATGTTGGTAAATTGTGCAATTTTTGTTTTAAAAATGGTTGATTTTAGTTTTTCTTATCTTCCGGTTACAGTTTTTATGCTTTTAGTTAATCTTCATGCAATAATTGTACAATTATCAACGATTTAAAAGTTATTTAAGAGCAATAAAGCTTTTTTTTTTTTTTTTTTTTTTTTTTTTTTTTACCATAGCAGCCATATTTGCTTACATTTGAAACTTAGCAGAATAATGAATTAAGTCAGTTTATGCCTCTTCAGTGTCTTTTTGCCAACTAGGGACAAAAGTAAACTTTCAGTTTTGTGCACTAAAAAATCTGCCCTCTGGTCTGCTGGCTAAATTGCTTGTTTCTGCATAGAAACTCTGCTTTTAATATTAATTTTTTTTTTTTTTTTTTTACTGTATTTGGTGTTTTATATTTTTCTATATTCTTCAATTTTTTTATGAAGCTGTTTCGAGATTTTATGTATTTTTCCCTTGCCATGAAACGAGAATTGAATGAGAAATATATCTCTAACGAAATTCGAGGAAATAAGTTTAAACAAAATGCAGGAAAAAATGCATATAATTTAATATTCTGTACATGGAAGTCATGTGGTTAATTTAATGAAGTTATCAGCATTTTAATAAATAAATGACAGAATTAAAAACACGTTTAAATACCTTTTTATGCCAATTATTTTCATCACATCGTTTTAAAATTTCTTCTCGAGATAGTACAGGTATCAAAGCATATTTTTAGCAAAAAACTGAAAAACCCGTATTTTCATCATTTCCTGCTAACTGTATGAAACTAAGGCCCCTTAATTCAGAATATATTAAGGGGGGAGAAAAGAAACTGAAATTCTCATGTTTAAATGCCCTAAGCATTAGTCAAAATTTTGAATAACTTAAAATGATGATAGATGAAAATCGCAAGGATTATGCTGTTTCTTCCAATCTGAGCCCCTTTCATACACATTGGAGCTCTAAGTATTTAATAACCTTATCAACTGTGTATGGTCTTTAATTATCTAACACCACAGAGATTATTTCCACTGTCATTTTATAATCACTTATTTCTCTCTACAAGTCTAAAACATACTTTAATTAATTTAATGAAGTTATTAATGTTGCACAAAGAAATATTATAAATTTAATATAAAATTACTTTAGAATCATACAGCCCCCTAAAAACACTATAACTTTTATAAAGATCAAAATTAAACTTACTTGGTTTATTAAGGCACTAGCATCTGACATATTTTCACAATTAATATAATGGAAAGCTTCCATAACCACAAGGCATCCTAATAAATCTGACTTGATTCCCTGTTGTTTAGCTGAAATAAAAATATTAAAATTAATCTCCAATGTTATTAATAAGAACAAATCAAGGCTCATACAGCTCATAATAAAAAGCAAACAGACAGCCAAAATATTATGAACAGCCCTATATTGTGAAAATGTACTTGCCAGAATGACTTTGGTGACACATGAAAATACTAGTTAACAACTGCAAGGGATACTGAGGCATCATTTTTTAACTAAGGAACAAGTGTGTCACTGAGTGTTTGCAAGCTGCTGTTAGTAGTATGAAAAATGGAAAAAAAGGTGGAAAAAGTTCCAAGAAATGACGTTAAATAGGAAATCACTGGACATGCAGGACTCATCAACAAACGTAGATGTCCAAGATTGTCCTACTGGGCAATGGCAAAATGATGGTTGCTGACGGCTCAGTTGAACACATTGAAGGCCCAAGTACATCTTAGTGCACAGTTCCTTCGATATGGGACTTTGTAGCAGACATCAATCTCACATGCTTCTGTTAACCCAGTATCATCAACATCTATAATTACAGCAAGCCTATGATAATCATAAATAGAGCATGTAAAAATGGGAGAAAATATGTGTTCAGATGATTTCTTGTACATATACGTCTAAATGTTGAACCAAGGCATGCCATCTTCCAGGAAAACAAATGATCAACCCAAGTGTTGCTAGACATGAACAATCTAGTGGTAGAGGTATTATTCTTTCCTCTATAACATTCTTCTAGGACCAATAGTTGTTATGAAACACATGATAGCTGTAGCTGAACATCACTGCTGACTAATTATACCCTTTCATGGTTTTTATGTTCCCTACTGGAAATAAGACTCTTCCAGTAGGATAATGCTCTTTGTCATAAAAATAGAATTGTGCTACACCATTTTGAAGAACATGTTGATGAATTTTCAACTGATGCCCTAGCCTTCTAACTTGTTGCATATAAATCCTATTGAACACACATGCAATACCAAGGAATGCCAGCTTAAAGCTCTCCAACCATTTCTTTTTGATCTATAGGAATGGCATGACTTCTGTTTGCAAATCTGGTTACTTAAACTAAGGTTACTTAGTCTTCTTCTGAATACTTATCAAAGATTTGTAAAATAATGTCATGGCAGCGTGTTTTATGAGCAAAAGAAGCAGAAAACACTGCAGAGTGAGGATGTTTTCAAGACACATATTTCCTTAATAGATTAAAAAGTCAAATCCCTTTAATAGATTAAAAAAATTAAAAACCAAGATTAAAAATTCAAGCATTTCCTTAACTTTGGTGAAGTAAATCATAAAACATGCAAAAAAAGGTTTCTCATTCCACTTTAAACCATGGAGAAATTTCTAATAGAAACTAGATCATGTAAAATACAGAGAAAACTCCCTACATTAGTTCTGGGTTAATTGCCAAGATGAATCTTTAGTGTTCTGTGATTTTAACCATGCAGCCATTCATAAGTTTTCAAACTATCATTATTACAATTCCACAACATGCACACTGCAGCTTACAGAAAGAAATAGCTAATTTACCTGAAAAAAACCTCAAAATCAAACATGTCTTAAAGAAAACATATACAAAAATTTTGCTGCTAATCATTATGTTGCACTTAGGAAGCCAAATTCAAATAAAAGAGACAGAAAACATATAGGGATTGCAGGCACTGTCACATTCAGAAGAAATGAAGAAGATATATGCATGAATCACCAACATGCATGGCAAAAATATTCTGCCTGAGACCATTTGAAAAGAGTATAAAACATTATTTTTATACATAAACAAAAAAAGAAATAATTATAAATAAATTAGGCAGTAATAAGGAAATTAAAATAAATAAATAAATATAATAAATAAATTGCTGCTGCTTTAAACTTCATAATATTATACATGTTATGAAATTAATAATACATGTTACAAATCTTAAGAATAAAAAAATTTAAAATTCAGTAAAATTTATATTTAGAAATAATTTAAAAGTCTAATCTTTAGTTAGAGGAAAAATATTTAAATACTACTATAAAGCTACTATTAAAAATTTACACACAACTATAATCAAGCAAATAAAAATGTAATTTTTTTAAACCTAAAGTGCCAACATATTGAAATTCTGCTTATGAAAAACATGCAACAAATAATAAATGCACTAAAATGTACTTTTTTGCATGCTAAATGTTTGTCTTTAGTTCATGTAAAAAGTGAATGCACACAAAAGGGGAGGTATTTGTGTCAAATTAAAAATGAAGTAAAGTAAAAATATTTTTTAACAATTTACTTCCATGCTTCCCCACATATTTTTTAGCATAGCAGATTACATACATTTATACAATTTTCCTGCAGTTAAAATTACTGAAAAAAGCTTATACTATTTTATGCACATAAAACAATCCATTCATGCATAACTATAAGCTTCTTAAACTTTCCATTTCTGAAGAGAAATTTGGATGTCAATTACAAAAAGTTACAAGGCCACAAAAACTTCTCAAGTGAAGCAGTATATTTACAGCATTTAATTTTTGTCCAAGATTAATTAAATGCACAATACTAAATCATCTAGTGATGAAATCAGTATTAGCTTTTCAAACATTTTTGAACAGTACAGGATATTAACATAATTAAACAATCAACTTTATCATCAAATGAAAGAGAAACATGCTAATGTAAAATTTTAAATTACGCTAAAAAACAACCTTACTTTGGCACACATTTTGAGTTTCATTTAAAATTTATGCTAAACTAAGGTTACTTTACTGTCTAATTTTAAGATAATGATATTAGTTCAAATAAAATGGTAGACACTTATTGGCTAGTGGACCATGAACACGTGATTTTGTGTTTAATTATAGATTCAAAAACAATTCTTTTTTTTAAATTTACAGATTTTTAAAATTTAACTTCAAGAGTAAATATAACAACAGAAGTAAAGAGTAATTTAAAACTTTTACAGAAATATATTTACCTAATTTTTTCACAAAGCTGAACATCCAACCAACATGTTTTCTGTCTTTGTCTGCTACATGACATGCTGCAGCTAATGTAACCCAGTTAGACAGTTTTCCTGAAATGAGCAAAAGACAGAGATAATTTTACATATTTAAAATAAATATCTATATACACAACAGATTAAATTTAAAAAATACACTGTGATTTATTTATTTCTTACCAGGATTAACATGGACAGCTTTCTGAGCAGCTGAAAGAGCACCTTTTCTATACCCTGCTGCAATCTGGCATAGAGCAAATATTTGTGAAGCTTGCTCTTTACATCCACCATGATAAGTACCAATTTTAGTACAAACAGCAGCAGCACTTGCATACTTTTTGTCCCACTGAAGGAGACACGATGCAATCTGAATCCACATTTGACTGTTATTTGGTAAACAATGAATATGCTTTAGTAGTTCAGATCGTGCAGCTTGAGCACCTTTCTGAAATTGCAAGAATATAATTTATTATTTAAATACTATCCACATTAAGATATTTACAAAGAATAGCACGAGAATAAAATTTAAAAGTTTCAATCTGAAAAATATTAATTACCAATTTATTGGCTAAAGCAGCTGAAAGAAAAGATATCGCTGTACAATAATCAGTATGAAATTTGAATGGTATAAGTTCTTTTTGTGCAGCTAAAGCTATTCGAGGCTCATCATTTAATACTCCAACAGAAAATAAGGCTAATAATCCAGGTACAGACACAGGTGAAATTTTAGAACTGCAAAATGAAAGGAATAAAACACAAGTATTCAACAAAGTTTACAATTAATGAATTTTTAACACTTAATACCCCTCAAAATTCATAAGTTTAATAACGGAAACAATTCCTCTAAAATTAAAGTAGTATATTTACCAAGGTCAGCTATTAATTTTGACAGTGATAATTTCATAATCTTACAAGCAAAGTGAATCATGCATTTTCAATACACAAACTTGCACAGAAGATGGGAGAGGAAAAAAAAAAAAAAAAAAAAAAAGAGAAACAGAGAGAAAGATTACCTTTCAAATAGCAAAGTTAAGGGATTGGGAAATTCTGGCCCCTGCAGATTTGTGGCTACCATAGCCATGGCAACTTTTATATGAGATTTATCTCCTGATTTCTCAGCTTTATCAAAAGCTTGCTTGAATACTAAAGAAAATCAATGACAATAAAAGCAAGAAATATGCATCAAATTTTAAGGGAAAAAATCAGTTTCTTTCAGTATTAAGATCAGTAAAAAAAAAAAGCTCAGTAATGTGATGGGGGAGAACAGTTTCATCAAAATATACTGAATATAATATTAAAATGAACTCTTCATAAAAACATCTGTGTCTTATCATTTATTTGATGAGACTGAAAATGTAAAAAAAATTTTTTTAGGCATGCAAATTCATACTATATTAATCACTTGCGCTATGACTAAACTTCACGGTTGTGGTGCCATGTGCTACAATATAACAAGCGGTTAAGTGTCTCATTTACGACGCTCCGCGTCTGCGAGTGCAATCCAGAGCTGTAACTCGACAAATAAACACTCTTGTTGTTAGGCAACGTGTGCACCAAGTTATTTTCATTTTTGCGATAAATGCCTATTGACGTGGTGTTCACATTGCTCGTGGTTTCAGACAAAAGCATCTCGACATGTGTGGCCTGTCTTTTTAGCGCAAGTGGTTAGTTATCAGTGGAAAATGTTTATCATATTTATTCTTAGCTAGGAGAATGAATTCATGGAAATTAAAATGCAATCTCTATTAGTACAATAAGCAATCTGATCACACTGAAACCTGTGATTGACAAGCATACGATGCTTTACTAAATGTGAATTATGAAAGCTACTTTTTTATACAAAAGTATAAAATAAATTACACAACAAAATAAAAATACATAAAACCAAAAAGTTAAGATTTAAATTAATTATGAAATGCTCAGTTAATATGCATATTTCCTTCTATTACACGAAAGCCTTCATTTTATTTGCATATGTTCTTATAAAATTCTTCACCTTTCCATATATTAAGAAACTTTTTCAAACCAACAGCTTTATTTTTAGCTTATACAGTACAAAGTCTGTAATCCGGACCACAAAGCTACAAACTTTATGCGCATATGTAAACGCATATGTGTTTAGGCATGCACGTTTAATTTATAACGGTATAAGCTAGGCTAAATTTATCTAAGGCATTTCAGTTAATGTTGCAGATTGTGCTGTTCCTTAATCTAATTGGATCCGCTTATATTTTTTGCAGACTGTTACAACAATTTAAAAATTAGCTTGAACCAAAAAGAGTTTCCAATTCTGGAGCTGCCAAAGGATCTACAAAGCGAAAGCATGTTTTGATGTCCATTAAATAAAAAGTGGAATTGCTGCAAAAAATGGATAAAAGCCTATCCATCTCAAAATTATGCAAGAAATTGGCATTGGAAAGTCCACTATATATGACACAAGAAAAAGGAACTTTTTTAATTTTTGTGGAAGCATCTTAAACAACTTACATTGAAAGAAATGTTTAATAAAGTAAACAAAGATATATTAAGCTTTTTTTTGCAAATTCTGATACCCTTTAGATCATAATTGTTCTTTATTTCATAAATTACGATTTCATATTTTTAATTGCATAATTTCTGCATGCCATCTTACCAGATTTAAATTGATGATCTATAATCCGGGAAAACCCCTAGTGGAATCGCGGAAGTCCCGACGAATCCGGATTATAGACTTTGTACTGTATATAAGCCAATTCTCATATATTTTGCTCATTTTGAATTATTTTTATAAACATTAAATTAAAACTGAATTTAAGATACTGAACATTTCTGATAGTATATTTTATTTATTATTATTAAAAAAATCTACAATCTACATGTACAGTTTTACATATCATCTTGCATTACATTACCAGACTAAGAAAAACTAAACTAAATTCAGACCACGACTTCTTCATTTTCATCTTGATACAAAGACCGATCTAGAATCACTGGATTTTGGAAACTTCCAGATTTTAGATCATTAGTTTTAAATCTAGTAAGATGACATAAAGAAATTTGGATAAAAATCTTTTTATAAATTATTATAAATTAAAAATATAAAAGAGTTGTTTATGAAATAATGAAGCATTTGTGTACCATAATGGAATTAAAATTCCCATGCACACACAGAAATTAAATATATATGTAGGTTTTACTTTCAAAACACGTAGACAGAGCACGAATATTGCATTTTAAATGCTTTTATTTTACTAATAAGAAATAGATAAAAGTAATAAAATGTAAGTTAAGTAAGAATGGATCTTGCAGGGAATGAATGATCAGTCCACAGACACTATTAGTTCCACAGGCGTTGATAGAATATGTTAACTTTTTAACATCCACGGCTAGCTTTAAATAGTATGTTCAGCTTAGTTAAACCAAAAGGCACTCAAACACCAAAGAAGACCGTCTATCTTCTTTAACTCTTGAAGACAAGCAAGCCATCCGCTCGCATCTGCTTTGCTCCACTCTCGTCCACGTCTGGGCGCTATCTCCTGTTGGTCTCGTCTGCTCGACACTGTCCTAAGCTGGGATGATGTCACCACACTGGTAATACGCTAAGTCAGCATTGGTCGTCGATGATCTCCACATCTTCGGCCAGCCTGAAGGGGCATCGTCCTCGATGTCTGTTGAGTGGACGTCACTATCATCTACTTGCAAAGAGAATTAAAAAAAAAAAAAAAAGAAAGAAAGAAAGAAAAAGAGTATCAGGTCCTTAGGTTTTGAGCTGATACAAACATCAAATCAATTTGACCATGGCTTCATATGGTCAGCCGCAGTAGATGTCAAATTCGGTCCTTCATGGCATCCTACTTTTTCGACTTCATATCTGTCATTTGATCTAACAGCTATGATTTTATACGGTCCATGAAACTTAGGTCGTAGTTTCAAACCAGTCCCATGCTGAGTTCTCTGAATGGCTACCAAGTCGCCAATCTTGTACAGTTTCGGTTTCTTTCGTTTTTTGTTAAATTGTTTACGATTCTCTTCTTGTATCTTCAAAATGTTGTTTTTCGCATCTTCTCTCATTTCATCACGTTCTTGCATCAACTGCTTTAGATATTCTTCATTCACTATCTCACTAATTCTCAGATCTTCCTTGTTCTTCATTTTTGTGCCTATGAGAAGCTCAAACGGTGAATATTTTGTACTTCTCGTAGTTGTGCTGTTGACAAAACAGGAATCAAAATTCTATGGATTTGCTCAATCTGTCCGTTACCTCTTGGAATACCGGTAGTAATTTTAACATGTTCTATGCCTTCTTCTGTACAATAAGCTGAAAATTCTTTCAATGTAAAGGCACTACCTTGATCAGAAATGATTCTGGCTGGATTTTCAAATACAGTCTGTTGTTGCTTCAATTTTGAAATGACTTCTTGCGTAGTTGGTGATTTCACTGGATAGAACCAAGTAAATTTCGTAAAAGCATCGACCACAGTTAGAATGTGTTGGTATCTCTTGTTCGTCGATGGAAGAGGTCCAATAAAGTCGATATGATACGTACTCAAAGGAATGTTTTCTTTTGGTAGAGGATGAAGAAATCCTTCTGCTTTTCCTTGCTTCTTGTTGTACAGTATGCATTCTATACAGTTAGCAATAATTCTTTCAACTTTACATTTCAGTCTGGGAATATAGAATTCTTGCTCTACAACATTTACAGTTTTATCTACAGCAAAGTGACCTTTTTTATGTACCTACTGTATGATTTCATTCTGTAAGGATTCTGGCACTACTAGCAGATCTTTACCATTCTCAAATTTGTACAAAATATCATTTCTCAGAAAGAATCCATTTTCTTCTCCTTTCTCAACTTAATTCTTTATCAATTTCACATGTTCCTCTCCATTCTGTTGTTGTGCCAACCGAATCTTTTCAGTTACATCTGATGTGTATGATGTTAAAATTAAAGCATTTCTACTTAGAGCATCAGCATGTTACATTTGGCTTTCTGAACGATGTACAATTTCATAATCGAGTTCTTCAATAAACATTGCCCATCTCGCAATCTTAGGAATTAAATCTTTCTTATCTAAAGTTTTCTGAAAAGCACTACAATCAGTTACAATTTTGAATTTAGTCCCTAACAAATAGTTTCGAAATTTCTTCAGAGCTTCTATTACTGCAAGGGCTTCTAATTCGTAACTACAGAGTTTCTCTTGCTGCGGTGAAGTCTTCTTACTCATATACTGGATTGGGTGATAATTACCATCATCAGACAATTGGAGTAGTACCGCACCAAAGCCTTGACTACTAGCATCAGTATGAAGTTCTAATGGATATCCTTGCCTAAATATGTGTAGAACAGGTGCTTGAGAGAGAATTTCTTTTAATCTGCAAAACGCTTCCTGTTGTTCGAAATCGAACTTAAAACCAATACCTTTTCTAAGCAAGTCACTAAGAGGTTTGGATATTTTAGCATAATGAGGAATGAATTTACGAAAATATCCCGTTAGTCCTAAAAAGCTTTGTAGTTGTTTACAGTTACGCGGTTGTGGAAAATTTTGAACAGCAACAGTTTTGGAAGGTGATGGTCGAATAGTTCCGTTTTCAATTACATATCCTAAAAATTCAATTTTACGTCTTAAGAATTGGCACTTTTTGAAATTTATTTGTAATCCATATTCCGAAGCAGTTTTGAATACTCTTTCTAATTTGTCTAAACATTCAACTTCATCATTAGCCGGTATGACTATATCATCCATATAAATAATTAACACACCCTCATTTAGCAAGTCACGAAATACTGAATAAATATACCTTTGAAAAACATTTGGACTAATACATAAACCAAAAGGAGCTTTAAGAAATTCATAAATACCATTATGTGTTACAAACACGGTATTTTGGTGCACTTTTCATCTATGTCTACATGGAAAAAGCCATTTTTCCAAATCTAGTGTCGTGAAGACATTTGATTGCTCTAAACGATGAATATTTCCGGAATTAAAGGCAGTGGAAATTTGTTTTTAATAATCTTCTTATTTAATTTCCGATAGTCAATGTACAATCTTTTAGAATTATCTCGCTTGCTACACAAAACAATGGGGGCCGCATAGTTAGAGTTGCTAGGCTTTATTATTTTTTCTTTCAGCCATTCATTAATTTGCTCGTCAACAATTTTT